GCTCCCAGACTAGCAGAGGTACGTGGAGTGCACCCCCCCCCCCCCCCCCCCCCCCCCCCCCCCCCCCCCCCCCCCCCCCCCCCCCCCCCCCCCCCCCCCCCCCCCCCCCCCCCCCCCCCCCCCCGCACTCCACCAGTCCCCAGCCTAGCCTCAGCCACTCACTGAGGCTGCAGTCGGCCCCCAGGAAGCCAGCGGGGCAGTGGCAGGCCCCTGTGGCCGGGTCACAGGAGCCCCCGTTGTGGCACACACACTGCTGCTCACAGCCTGGCCCGAACTGCCCAGGGGGACAGCCTGCGGAGAGAGCCAGCTGTGCCAGGGCCAGAGTGGGCACTGCCCCCAGTGGCCGGGGAGGTGACACCAGCCCCAGCTCCTCCAACAACAGCCTGCCCCCCACCCCATGAGGCAGCAGTGCGTCAAAGTGGCTCAGCAGGACAACACTGACCCCCTAGGGAAACGCCCCCTCAAGAGGACTCCATGGGTGTGGGGGACACGACAGGCACTCACGCTGCTGGCAGCCGCTGCCGTGGTACCCCGCAGCACACACACAGGCCCCCGTGGCAGGGAGACAGGACTGGTTCTCGCTGGGACATTGGCACCCCTGGGCACAGTCCTTTCCGAAAGTTCCAGGTGGGCAGTCTGGGGGCAGGTGGGAAGGGCATCAGTTCTGGCCACAGCCCAGGTCTCACACCCTCTCCGGGGTGCAGCTCAAAGGCTCACATGGCCCTGCCCATCAGGCTCACCTACCCTGCTCACAGCCAGGCCCCATGAAGCCAGGGGGACAGCCACACTCCCCCGTGACGTGGTGGCAGGAGGTGCCCTGCGGGCAGTGGCAGCGCTGGCCACAGGCCTCTCCAAACCAGCCAGGTGGGCAGGCTGCAGGGAAGGCAGGGATGGGGGGCTTCCAGGAGACAGGGTTGGGGGGCCCGGGGACCACCCCAGGAGCTGGCCCTCAGTGCGGGGACCTCACCCCTCCGTCCTGACGTCGGAGCGCGCCTGGGACCAGCCCTGCTTGGAGGACCACACAACCCTGGGTGCTGCTGACCAGGCGGCCCAGTGCTCACCGCTCTCACACCTCCCACCCCTCCATCCTGGGGGGCAGAGGCAGGTGCCAGTGACATGGTGACAGGGGGCACCCCGCCGGCAGACACATCGCTCCTGACAGCTGGGTCCGAAGGTGCCCTGGGCACAGGCTGCAGGACATGGGACGGAGCTGAGATGCAAACTGCTCTGCTTGCCCCCTGTGATTCCACAACCCCCCCTTGAAAGAAGGGCTGGCCTGCAGATGTGCACCCTACCCCCATCAGGCCACTGGCCCCGCCCCCACTCACGGCTCTGGCACTTGTCCCCGGCCCAGCCGGCCGGGCAGTGGCAGGCGCCCGTGTGAGGGTCACAGAGCCCCCCATGAAGACAGTCACAGGGTTGCATGCAGCCGTCCTCCATGTGCCCAGGGCGACATTCTGCGGGGGGGTCGGGGGCGGGGAGCAGGTGAGTGTCCCCGGGGCCCCTATATCCAAAGGGACAGGTCACAGGGCTGGTCATCCCGCAGGTCCTGGGCCACACCCGGGCCACTGCCCTGGCCAGGGAGCCTCCTAGACCAGGGCAGGTCAGGCTGCAGATCTGGCTCCCACTGACTTTCAGGGGGCCCCTCTGGGCCCAGAGTACTCACCCCGCTCACAGGCCGAGCCGGCCCAACCCTTGGGGCAGGAACAGTGGCCAGAGACAGGGTCACAGGTGCCTCCGTTCCGACAGATGCAGGGATACTGGCAGTCCTGGCCATACAGGCCCGACGGGCAGGCTGGCAGGGGAGGGACCCCACAGCATCAGCCCACCAGACCCCACAGCTCTGGTGCTGGCCACCCTCGAGGGAATGCCCAATCCCAGGGACGCAGTGCTGAAAGAGGGGCCTCCAGCCATGACACTCCCTCACTTCCCCCCAGGCTAGGCACCTCCCCACTCTGCCTGCTATTCCAGGCTGGACGCCAGGCCCTCCACACCCAGGGGACCCCTCATGGTCCAGCGAGGGCCTGGGCGGGGTCCTCCACATCCTAGAGCAGTGGTTCTCAACCTTCCCTTTAATATAGTTCCTCACGTGGTGGTGAGCCCCGACCATAAAATTACTTTCACTGCTATTTCATCGTTGTCATTTTGCTACTGTGATGAATCGGGCGACCCCCACAGGGGTTGCGATCCACGGGTTGAGAACCACTATCCTAGGGGCTCCCAGGGCGGGCTCACCCTGCAGGCAGGTGGGTCCCATCCAGCCTGGGGTGCAACGACATCCCCCGAGCACCGGGTCACAGGACGCCCCGTTGGCGCAGGCACAGCCCTGGCTGCAGTTGAGCCCGTAGGTGTGGGCTGGGCAGGCTGGGGAAGGGGGTGGGGGCATGGTCAGAGCCACCTCGGCCCCTGAAACCTGTGCTCCTCTCTGTAGCCACCTCCCGTATGGACCCAGGGCCCCCACACTAGGTACACTGAAATGCAGTCCCTATGGGGAAGCTCCGTGCTGGGGTTAACAGCAGGTGCAGCCACCTGGTGCCTCGGACCCTCCCCTCCCCACCCCATCCCCCGTCCCTGCCCTGGGCAACATCCCAGTAGTACCTGGGCCTCGTGGCCACACTCACCATGGTCACAGCGGGGGCCATGCCAGCCAGCCGGGCAGACACAGACCCCGCTCACAGCGTCGCAGGGGGCTCCGTGGGCACAGTCACAGGCCCCCAGACAGTCCACGCCATAGAAGCCAGCCGGGCAAGCTGTAGAGGGGGGGCGAGGGCAGTGGTGGGGGCTGCATGCCCGAGGTGCCCCCCGCTGGCCCAGCGTGCCCCCTACTGCCCCCACTCACCTCGCTCGCAGAAGGCCCCCCTCCAGCCAGCCGTGCAGGTACAGGCCCCACTGACATGATCACAGGCTCCGCCATGCTCACACTGGCACTGCTGTCCACAGCCTGGCCCAAAGTGGCCCTGGGGACACCCTGGGTACCAGTGCCAGCCACCATTAGAGGGGGCCTGGACAGGAGGCAGGACCAGGTCCCAAGGAAGCCTTCCCAGCTGGCACCCCCTCCCACTCTTCAAGCATGTGTGAGTGTGTGTGTGTGTGTGTGTATGAAGGTTTAGGCAAGTTTCAAATAAATGTTTTTGGTGTTGAGGACCCTTTTCTAGGACTGCTTCTAAGAGACCCACCCCAGGACCACTCTGGGGCCCACTAAGCCCTCCTTCCCCCATGGGAGCCCCTCCCCACCCCCACCGATAAGGAGCAAACCCTTAGTCCCCTTGAAAGCCCAGGCATCAGCCTTGTGGGTGAGGGACCTCAGTCAAGGACGGCTCTATGCCCACCACTGACCTCCACTGACCCGCAATGCGTTAGCCATACCCTCTGCCCCTCCTCCAGTGGGACAGTCGTGACAAACACCCCACCCCCCTCCAGTGGGTGACATCAGGCACAGGTTGGTGGGTTGGTCCTTTCCTGACGCGGGGGCCTGAGAGCCTAGCCAGGGGGTGGTAGGCCACCCACTTCTTCTCTGGGCTAGGAAGGCAGAGTGGGGCGCTCCTGAGCTCCTGAAACTTATGGCCCCCACGCCGGGGCCCTGGGGCCGGCCCGAGGTCTTGCCCAACTCACAGTGCTCGCAGCGTGGGCCTGTGTAGCCGGCCTCACACAGGCAGTGCCCGCTGGCCGCCTCGCAGCTCCCTTGCCCCGCGGTGCAGTTACAGGGGTGCATGCAGTCGGGCCCCCAGTGCCCCCCGTCGCAGGCTGCAACAGAGCCGGTCACTTGGCGCAGGCCCGGCAAGGCCTTTGGCACCCAGCAAGTGGAGGGGCATGTTAGGAGGGAGCCACAACAGCCGCTGCGGCAGGGAGGTGGTCACAAGTGGAGCATCCAGCCCCCACTAGGGTCTGTGGGGCCACAGACCCAGCAATCCCCACCCTAAAGGGCCCTATGTGTTGCAGGTGGAGGACCCCCACCCCCACCCCATGTCCCACATACCTCTACGACAGTCCAGGCCCGTCCACCCCGGGGCGCAGCTGCACTGCCCGGTCACAGGGTGGCAGTGGCCCGAGTTGGCACAGGAGCACCTGGCCTGGCAGCCAAGGCCGAACCAGCCTGCTGGACATGCTGCAGGAAAGAGGGACTGAGTGCCCTGGTCCAGCCCCTGCCCAAGGAACACCCAGGGCCCTACTCACCATCCTGGCAGTGGCTGCCCATGTAGCCAGGTGGGCACAGGCAGCTTCCTGTCTCTGGGTCGCAGCTGGCACCGTGGTCACACGTAGGGCAGATCTGCTGGCAACCGAGTCCCCAGCGGCCCTCGGGACACTCTAACCCCCCACACCCAGTCAGTGCCCACGGCTCTCACCGGGACTTGGGCATCTCAGCACCACCAGCACTAGGCCCACATGAGGCTACAGGGGCCAGGGCCTCCCAGAGAGGGTGCTGGGGGCCTGTGTGCCGAGCAGGTCAGAGACTGCTGGCCAACCCAGGCCTGCCCTCCAAGGGCCAACAGGTCCCCAGTGCTTCTCCGTTCCAGACACCAGTACACCCACACCGGGCCCAGCCTGACGGGCTCAGCAGGGCTCACAGCAGCTGGAGGAAGCCGGGTCTGCAGGCTCCGGGCTGAGCCAAACCCAAACCTCGCCACAGCCACAGCGACCCTGCAGGACTGAGTGGAGCTGGCCCTGTGGGTGTCCGAGACTAACTATTCAAGGAAAGGGGCACCGTATTGTTCTGGTGGGCTCTGACTGCTGCTCAGTGGTTAGCAGCCCAACATCACCAGAGGTCCCCACACAGGGTCTGGAATCAGAAGTCCCCAAACACTGCTGGGACTGAGGTCAAGGGCTTTTTGAACAATGTTGGGGCTGGGATCAGTGGTCCCTAAGCTTGGCCGGAGGCACACTCCCAGTGCAGGTGTGGAGTGGAATTTAAGCACAGTTCAGGGTTGGGGCTGCGGGGGCCCACACACATGGCTTGGAACTGGGGTTAGGTCCCCTAACACTGTGCGGGAGAGAGAGGAGGACTTGGGGAGCCTGTCTGCCACTCACCTGCCTCACAGTCGTCCCCATTCCTGCCTGGTGGACACAGGCATTGCCCCGTGACCTGGTCGCAGGGGGCGCCCCCGCAGGAGCACTGGTTGGAGCAGTTCTCGCCGAACGTCCCCCCTGGGCACTCTGCAGGTAGATGCAGAACAGGCCTCAGTGCCCCCACCCTGGGCCCCAGGTCCCACACCCGCACCAGGCCCCTGAGGGTCCAGGGCAGGTCCCAAGTCAGGGGGGAGGGAGCATCACAGAGCAGGCTCCTTCTGGGCCTCAGGGGCACAGAAAAGCAGGACAGGGTGGGGTCACGAGTGAGGACAGGCAGCCAAAGGGAGAACCTGCCCCTACTGGGGATGACCATCAGGTCCCTGGAGAGGCTGCAGGGGCACTGAGGCCAGGCCTGGTCTGCTTCCCCTCCCACCTAGGGCAAGTCCCCCCACAAGCCCCTCCCTCCCAGCTCTTGCCCTGCTGGGAGGCCTGAGATATGTGTACGCCCCACAAGGACCCCCAGGGAGCTGTCCACCTGTCCTCAGAGCAGCCGTCCTCTCCTGGGGGGAGAGAGGAGGGGTGGGTAAGGAAGGGCACAGGCCGATGCCCACCCCAGACTAAGGAAAGGAAGCTTCTACAGGAGGCCCCCATTCTTCCATCCATGGCAGGGCAGTGAGGTGGGCGGGGCAGGGGGCGACCCATGCTAAGATCTCAGGATGGAGGGGTGTCACAGGGCCCCGCCCACACTGCTCCCCATGCTGTGGAGGTAAGGGGTCAAGGCTTAAGGGTTCCCATGCCTGCCTTGCCCCTCAAGGCCCAGCATCGGCCTCCCTGTCCCAGGTCAAGAAGTGAGCCCAAGACCAGGGCAGGGAAGAGAGGGCTCCCTCCTGGCCCCAGTTCCCAAGCTGCTCCCAACTTCTGCTGCTGCTACAGAACAGCACCCCGAGTCCAGGAAACCGTCATGGCAGCCTACGGAGTGGGGGCTGCAGGGCCCCAGGCTCCACACCCCAAAACTGCTCTGACCCCAGCCCCCAGAGCCAGGGGAGGATGACCGGGCAGAGTCCAAGGATGGGAATAGGGGGCTTGACCTCTCAGATAGACCCTGTCCAGGGGCCTGTCCCGTGGAGGCACCCTCAGTCTACCCCCAGGGACACAGGGCACACCTAAACCACATGTGCAGTGCGGACCAGGGCCAGGCAGGCCCAGTCGCCAGGCCTCGTGGAGACTCCTACTCCCTGGGGGAGTCCCATGTTCAGCCTGTGATGCTTTCCCGACTGCCCACGCAGTTACGAGGAGCCCCCGGTTCCACAGCACCGGGTGTGGGAGCCCCTCCCTGTAGCTCATCCTGGGACTCTGCTCGCTCAGCTATCAGCACCTGGGCCAGCAAAGGGTGGGGTCCGGCTCTCCCAGCGGGGTTCCAGGGATGGAGTAGGTGGGTGTGTGGCTGGGCTCAACAGCCCATGGGCATGGGTGGCCTAGATGGCCAATTGGAGTGTCCCTGTGCCCACTGCTTGGCCCCGTGGGAGGAGGTATGCTGAGGCCAGCCCCCTGTCCAGGCTGCCTCCGCAGGCCCCAGCTGCCCATCCCCTTGGGCGTGTGCTCCTGAGCCAGAGCCAGAGAGGACCTGGCCTTCCCAGTGCCTGTCAGCACTGACAGCGTGGCCTTGCTTACTCCTCTCCCTTTCCCGCTCCCCCGGGACCACACTAGGCTGCCCACCTGCCAGAGGCACCAAGGACAGGAGTCCACGGAGAGGCCCCGTTAGTCACCAGCTGCAGCTGGGACACCTCTCTGTCCCTCCTACTCATCCAGCACCCCCGCACCCCC